CAAACACTAACCTGAAAACATACAAGTACGTTTTCCTGATGTGGTGATTAGTAATGATTCTGTGATCTTTTTCAACATAAACCTGCAATAACGCATTTCAGACGCAAAAACAAAAACATGGAGGAGGATTTTGAAGCCATGTTTGCTGACGAACTGGAAATGATGAATGAGATGGACGGTGCGTACATGTATTACCTCAACAGCCATATGTAACAATGCTAACACATACATGTAGTTTCCCATGTTAGAATGTCGCCAAATGTAGGTAATAAAGTGCAGCATTGTTTGTAAGTAATAAAGTATTCATTTCAATGTTAATTCACGTAGTTTAACTGTTAGCTTCCTTCTGTTACTACTAGTAGTAGTACTAACGTACGTTTACTTTGATACATGCATGCATGTGGCGACTTCATACATATTTAAGTTTGGGATTTCTGGTAGGTGATATGACTGAAATATTATGAAGAAATATATTTAAGTATATTAAGCAACACTGTGTGATCGAGAAAAATGCATCATATCATTTACAGATTATGAGCCATATCCTAAGTCCAAAAGAAGTCTGGCTTTCACTCCATCTAAAGGAACTGGCAAGGACCCAGTGGACCTCAATGACAGCATACTGACACCTTTGGACAGTCCAAGTGAAAATACAGGCATGTGTTATGTCCAGTCATTGCCAAACTTGACAGCTAATTCTGGCCTAACACCCTACAGTACCTGTACCCAGTAGTGAGCAGTTTTACAGGCTATTTCCAAATTTGTGCGTTTATTGACAAGGGATAACTTCTAACACACCACTCTGATATGTTCATAATTTTAAGTTGTCAGTAGACTTTTTGAGCTTTTCCTACAATATTTTGGGCCTGCACAATCTAGGCAGGACTTTGCAATATCCATATTTTAGAAGACCCCTAAGCCTGCAATGATTTTGACATGCCTGGTATATACCTGGTATATAGACCTATAATGCATTGCAAGATCATGAAAAATATCCATGTTTATACTTGTACATAAGATATAAGTCAAATGCTTTAAAATAACTCTTGCTAAATTATTAACTCAGCAAACTTGGGAAGTATGTTTTTTATACCTGCAAATTCTTCATTGATCTGGTTGAAATCACTATAACTGGAAAAAGAAAAAGGCTAAAAGTAATGTAAAAATCACAATCATAACTTTTTGTTACAGATGTGTCCCACAAAAGGAAAAAGAGAGAAAAAGATGTCTTTGGTGATTTGTCAGATTCTGATGGTGATGTTGAGGAGGCTTTGCCCAAGATAGGTTAGTCTGAGGCTTTATAATAGATTGAGTTTCATAAAGTAAAGAGATCTTTGGTAGTAATTTTCTCTTACAGAAAATTTTTTCATTTATGTGATTATTGTCTTTAGTGTCATTTCGTATTCCTTGTGGAAGTAGTAACAAAATTAGAATATGATTCTCAAAGGACTGAAAAATTGGAATATAAAAAGTAAAAAGTTTTATATGCCACTAGAATGAAATTTTGCTACTGAAGGTACATTGACTATGAAATCATCATTGGATAAACTGAGATTCGAGTTTGTTTTGTCAGTTTTAGTGCAAAATACAAAAATCGCAACTGCATCAATAATTATCATGCTGTATTATAACCTTTTGATTACAGCTCCTCAAAGAAAGAGAGTCAAATTATCCCCCCAAAAATCGCTTTCCATACCCAAAAATCAACCTGAACCAGGTTTAGATGATTTTGAAATCACGCCCCCTCCATCTCCAACCCTTGTTCTGGAGAAACGCATCTTAGCCCAAAGAAACAAAACCACAACCAGTATCTTGGCAGAGCCAACAAACAGCAGGGATACTTACCAAACCCCAGTGCTAGATAGTAAGTAAACCAACAGGCATTTAATTGAGCATTTCTCTGTAGAATTTAACATTTTGATTTATTTTCATATAGTCTTAATGCAGTGAGAAATTGCAAGCTACATTTTCAGGATTTACAGTTTTCACAACTTTTGCCCATGTATATTGGGGTGTATGGGGGTAAAGCAAATTATATAAAATAAAGAAGATGGAGAAATAAAACATAATAGAATTTTTTTCTGGTATTTGACTATTGGATGTCGGAGGGGAAGTATATAATAGAAATATTATTTTAGGTTATGACTATGACAGGCCCAGAGTGTTCAGAAGAATTCCTGCTGGGAATTTTATATCTGTAACAGGGGTTGATGGAACAAGAGCCTACATGAAAGTGAAAGAAGATAGTATATTGACAAAAGAGGTATATATTCTGATGGAATAGTAAAATATAAAGTGTATTAAGCTGAATGCCCTTGAGGTCTGTCAGGCAATATTTGGTTATGGTTGTTATATATTTTCATAACTTCAAGATTAAAGATGCAAAAATAATGTACATAAGTGTTTGTGTGGTTGGGAAGGCACCTGGTGAACAAATGCACACATTTTAAACAGATCAGTCTTAAGGATTTATCTGGAATTCCAGATATTTATGTGGTCAGTGGTTGCATTTTCCAAATTTTTTAAAGGTTCACTTTTATCTCCAAAGTTGAATACAATTTTATTTTGTATCAGGAGGATGCAGCTTTTTCTGCGACCAGTTCACACTTGCTGGGAATGTCCTTTGAAGCACTGAAGGATCAAGTGGAACAAGAGGTAGAACAGGACACCATTAACTTTTTTTTTATTCAATGTATATTTTTTTATTGCTTAATCTTTATTTTTAAACACGAGATTGAATTTTTGTTGATTACATGTATTAATTATGAATTATTTTATTGTCAGACTTTAAACTTCCAGATGTTTTTTAATGATTTTTATGGAAATTATCATTTCAGAGGAGAAACAGGGTAATTGAAGAATCAATAAGACTGACTAATCAGCTTAACAGGTTGGTAATTGTTTTAAAACTTTGGATGTTTTTTGGTTAGAATGATGAACAGATATTTAATATATATCTGTTTTATATCTAGATACAGGTTTAATTTATTGGCCATCTTGACTTTTAGTTTGCAGTATTATCATATTATTTTTTACAGGGAATTTGACACAGATCTTGGTTTGGAGGATGAGTTAACAAGTGATCTGCCTGAAAGCCATGACATGCTTGATAAAGAAGTGGAAAGTGATGGAGATATGAAGCATGAGCTGTGGGTAGAACAATACAGACCCCGTCAATATACACAGCTCTTAAGTGATGAGGTACCCACTCTTTTGAGAAACGATGTGCACTTATTTCAACTTTAATGGGAACACCTGTTGGTGTTTATAGATGTATACCTATAAGATTTTCTTTAAAGCTGGTAATTATCATTTTAATTTCAATCTGTGTATATTTTTTCTCATGTGCTTTTTCTCATTGACATTGTTATTTGATGAATTTTGGTTGAACCTTGGTAGACAGGGAATGGTATTAAAAATGATATTTTTCAGTAACTGCTGGTGCCTGAGAAACCCCGCTAAATCTTTATATAGACTCCAGAAATACTTTCAGGGTGGAGTTGAAAAATTACTAGCACTTCAGAGTTGTTGCATTTTTTTTCCTCACACACACACATGCAAGCAAGCAAATTGCAGTATGCATATACACTTTTTATCCTTAATTCAGAATATCTTTTATTTTATTTCCATTTTGCAGAGCACTAACAGAGCATTGCTGCACTGGCTGAAGTTGTGGGACCATGTTGTGTTTGGAAAGGAGAAGAAGGTTCCTAAAGCAAAGCAAGAAGAAAAGAGCAAAAAAGATGGCAAGAAAAAGAACTTTAAAAAGCAGGAGGAAGTGACAGAGGATTTGGACAAACTAGGAAGGCCAATACAAAAGGTATTTTCAGATAAGAGAATTTAAATTGGAAGAAATATGAAATATTTTCATTTTTCTTTTTTTTTTTTTTTTTAACTATTTAAGTCACTGGTCAAAACTCTCTAATGTGATTGTTGGCCTTGCAATATTATTGGCAGATGCCAAAGTCATAAGTCATGGGTGTTTTTGAAAACGATCAGTATGTGATTTTAAGAATAACTCTAGTATATGTGTTGAATTTTTATAAAGGTGAATAATTTGTTAAATTTCAGATAGCTTTGCTGTGTGGTCCCCCAGGTCTCGGCAAGACCACTTTGGCCCATGTAATTGCAAGCCATGCTGGGTATAATGTAGTTGAGATGAATGCCAGGTAAGACGGGTTGACCCCACATTTCTGACTAAGGGCTCATTACCTTAAACATTATGGGTCTGTGTCGATGAACTCTGTGGGAATTCTCACTAAGAGCGATCAGCTTAACAGATTAACGCACCTTCTGGCATTAAGTAGAAAACAGAAAAGCTGGTGATTATACGAGTACATTGAAAACAAAAGGAGGCATTCCATTCAGTTAAGCTGATTGAACTTAGCAATGTCCACACAGAGTTGGGTCGATCCACATAGACCAATAGTGTCTTTATGAGAATGAGGTCTAAATCTCTTTGGCCAATGGACAGTTTAGTGAACTGACTTTTCTTCACTATCAGAGATTAATTTTTGACTATCAGACAGGTGTGATCCTTTTGAATATGAGGAAAAAACTGTTAGCTTAAAACTAATGATGAAAGCATGGATCACCTCACTCTGGTTTAATTGAGATTTAAATTTCAGTCATAAGCAAAATGGAGAACAAAAAAGTTTTAGTGTGCAAGTTTTCTCTAATAATAAGTTATGATCATCTTAGCATCTTGTATTTCTTGTATATTGCAGTGATGACCGATCTCCGGAATTATTTAAGAATAAGATAGAATCTGCTACCCAAATGAAAGCAGTAATGGGAGCAGACCCAAGGCCGAACTGTCTGGTCATTGATGAGATTGATGGTGCTCCTTCTGTAAGAAAAACATCAATTAGCCATGTCTCTCTCCTGATTAAACAGGCACAATATTTCATTTAATTCTACTACTGCTGATATATCTTTAGTAGACTAAATTTAGTCTAAAAGTTTAGAATTTTTTTATAGATCTTTTGTGGAACAGGTGTATGGATTCGTCTTTTTAAAAAATCACATGCTAGACAGGACAACTTCTAAACAACAATTGAAGTTCTGTGCCTTGGTCATCCAGAGTAGTTCCAGTTTTTAACAGTGTTAGATATTTAGATTTTGCTAATGTGATATTGGCTGGAAATTATGCTTTGTAATCAGTTGTTAGTATTAGTGACTTTCAAACACCTTTTATTTTATTATTTATTTTTATTTATTCTTTTTCCCCTTAATATATATTTAATTTTGTATTATTGTTATTTTTTTATTTAGCAATCTATCAATATTTTGATGTCATTCATCAAAGGTGAAGAAAAGGTCACCAAAAAGAAAAAGAAGAGTGAACGGATTCTGTTAAGACCTGTTATCTGTGTTTGTAATGATTTGTAAGTCTTTTTATTATTCTTCATGACAAATTTCTTATGAAGAAATGTGGATTGAATCTAGATATTTGTGCTTTGTTTGATTTTGGTATTATAAATGGCATTTTGTCTTGAAAAATATGTATTACGTAGAATTCCAACTTTTCTTAACCTATAACAGTAGTGCCACTGAAATATCAATACACCTTTCTTTTCTACCTGTCTGATGCATCAGTCAAGAGTATCAATACCTTTGTTTCAGGTATGTGCCTGCTCTGAGGACATTACGACAAAATGCCCTGGTTTTACACTTCCCTCCCACTGCCTCTGCCCAGCTGGCTTCTAGATTACTAGAGGTATGTTGAGTCCTAGTCTGCTTGCTGGTAATGTATTGATCCCCCCCTCCCTCCCCTTTACACGTGTGTTAATAAAAAAAATTTGATTATTTTTGGCCACTGATTAATGTTTAATATCTGTTCATTGTCATGGAATTGAAAATAATTTAGAATTATATTAGGTAGATAATAAAAAGGGTAATTAGTGATTTGGTAATTTTTATTTAAAGAAGCGCTGAAAAGTTTTTAATTGGCTTTTCTGCATTGTCACCAATAAACTACAATGATTATGGTTACAGACATTTATAAACATGATATTCATCTTTGTCCAGTTTAAGCATATGTTACCTTGGTGTAGAGTGAGATAGAACAAACAGATGAAATAACTACATTTGCGATGTGTTATCTTTCAGATTAGTAGAATGAATAAAATCCGTACAGACATGTCTGCCTTGCTCCAGCTGTGTGAGAAGACCAATAATGACATCAGATCCTGTCTGAACACGCTGCAGGTATGTGGCTGTCAAATAATGACATCAGATCTTGTCTGAACACGCTGCAGGTATATGGCTGTCAAATTGGCTGAGTACACAACTAGACTTAAGTTACGCCCAAAATCAAAAACATCTTGACTGTCATGAACAGATGACAAATTAGGTTAAAGGTGGAGATCTGAACTTTTTAGACAAGATGAAGTTACCCAGGTAATCTGGTCACTTGGTGAGGTAAGTTGGTCGACTCACTATCTTAGTTCCGTTTTGGACACAACCATTCACAGCACGTTTTGTACAACATCATTTCAACACAGGTTAGTCATTCTTTCATGGTAACACCCTGCAGGTGGCATTAGAGTGAACAGAGACCTTTTTTCACATCTAATGCTAACCCCATACATATACTTATACCACACCTTTGAATGCTGGATGTCACCCCGTCAAAGTATGCCATGGTGTGGGGTTGACAAATGGTCAAATTGTCATGTAAAAGGTGTCACATCGTTTAACCAATAACATTACAAGCACATGGTATTGATTAGCAGATATTGGCCCTAAATGCATTCTCTTAGGTTTTGTAAAATTTCTTGTCAGAGCATTGTACAGGTAATGTGATATCTTATCGCTCCTAACATGACACAGGTATGTGTTTAAGTGACCCAGTCACCCAGCACACTGACATAATGATGAGAACACAGCACAGGTAATATGACATCATGTTTGATGTATGAACAATTATGTAATGTTCACAAAGTATCTTAGTGTTGATGTGGAATGTTGCCAGGTCATGTTTCACCTTGATTAAATTGCATAATTACATCTCTCTTTCTGCCCCTCTCTCTCTCTCTCTCTCTCTCTCTCTCAAGAAAAACAGATTGATGTTTTTGACTTGATTCTAATCCTGATTACATGACTTCATTTTTTTCCCCGCACATTTATTTACTTTGTATATCAAAAAATAAGGAACTGCATTTCTTTCCATGTGTTCAGTTTGTCCAGAGGCAGAAGAAGGAACTGACCATGTCCAGTGTCCAGTCGTTGAGTGTAGGGCAGAAGGATGCTCACAAAAGTCTCTTCTCTGTTTGGCAGGATATATTCCAAATGCCTAAACCTAAAAGGTGGAACATTTGATATAACGTATTATTTAACTTATTCATTCAATAACAAATAGTTTGATACAGCCAAAACTAAATGTACATTGCATAGGTTGATCATTTTTTTGTATACTTTGCATCTACAATTTAAACATTTCAGGTTGATGAAACAAACAAACAAAAAACATTCATTAGAATACCTTTCATCCAGTATAAAACTGGTGGTATTAATTCATTTTTAGGAAAAGATTTGTCAATCCCCATGAGCGTGGAAGTGTTCAAGAAATGCAGGATCTCTTAGCACAGAACAATACATCCACATCAGGAAGGTAAGCCAGGATATTGAAATTACATTTAGAAAACAATATCTTTGGGAAATTTAACATGCAGTGAGTTTTGTGGAAAAAGTAAGGAAAAAAAAGCTCATTTGACATATAAACTTAATTTCATTTGTTGTGGAATTGTACCGAGCACTTAAACAAAGGTAATTTTATCCTCCATTAATTCCTGAGAAAATCTTCAATTCGTCTTGTACGTACAGGTTTCAGCACATCTATGAGGTTGCCATAGCAGCAGGAGACCATGAAAAAGTAACCCAGGGAATCTTTGAAAATTATTTAGAGATGAAAATTAAGGACCCAAGATTTGATGGGGTAAGGCATGTGATATTGTAGGATTTTATCTATAAAAGATTAATCTTTTTATATATTGGTAAGAATTTTTGATAAGTGTATTTCATGAATTATATTTTTGTCAGGCCTGTGTTTAAAGTGATCAATGACAGTTGTCAGTGACCATTTTACAAAAAAAATTACTTATGTATTTGATTGTTATTTGATATATTATAATTACCTGCATTTTAATGAATCATAGCCAGCAAATTTGTAAAAATGATCGGTTGTTGTCTATATGTACTAAGTACATGTTAACTCACATATTATAGTTGACCCTGGCCAGTGAATGGCTGTGCTATACAGACCTGGTGAACCAGCAGATAGCTCACTCTCAGCTCTATATAATGATGCGCTACCTGCCATACCTGCCTGTGGTCTTCCACCTGCTGTTTGCTTCCACATCATACCCCAAGTTGTCTTATCCACACAGTCAATATGAGGTAAGGGTTAGGAATATCCCCCACATGGTCAGTATGAAATAAAGTTTGGGGATATCCCTCATACTGTCAGTATGAGGTTAAGTTTGGGGATATCCCTCACATAGTCAGTCTGAGGGAAGGTTTAGGGACATTCCTAGGCTCATACACATGTTTAATTTAATGAAATACTGTAGAAGATTGGGCAAAAGGAAGTATAAAAAGTTTTGTTATTTTTCTTCATCATTTTTTATTGATTTGTTGAATATTACATTATTTGGCTAAAACAAAGTATATACTTAAAAAATATATACCATTAGGTTCTTAAATGCTGCATTTGAAAAGGGGGACGTCTCTTTGTATTCTTGTCAGAAATAATTGTGGAATGCCAAATTGGAAAATTAAAAAGTTTTGCAGCATTTGGATAAATATTATTTGCCTGAAACTGAAAACACTTCTAGCTTATACCTATGAACTATGTATTTTCAGTGCACCACTAAGTTGGCCAAGTCAGAAAACCTGGTGAATGCCATGATGAATGAGATGGCGCCCTCTGTGAGGAAAAATTTGAACATCCCCATAATTGTGCTGGAGGTTCTGCCATCTCTGCTGGGCATCATTACACCCACACTGAGACCTGTAGGTTTTATCATATTTTGGCAGGTTTTAAAATTATTGTTATTTTTATAAAATTTAATGTAATTAAGGCTTGTATTTGTAAGATTCACACATCAGACATCCATTGTGTATAGAAAAAAATCCTAGTAAGTTTCAATTGTCAAAAATCTAACTAAAAAAACAAGATTTAGAACATTCAAAAAGGTTGGACTGGGATATAATTGTGGTGAAATATCTTTTGGAATACTTCAAAAGAGTAAGAGAATACGACTCCTGCTGATTTGCTGTACCTTGAGAACACTATCTGAATTTTCAGTATTAAAATTTGAATAAATCTTACAATGCAATATTAACATATTATAATTTTGGATTTGTATTTTCACAGTTGTTCTAACTTGTATGTATATTGAAGTTATTCTGTGGAAACAGAATGATCTGGAACTGTTGTTCTGTACGCGATGGTTTCAGGTGAACACACAGCTTTACAGTGCCAGGGAGAAGGCAGATATGAACCACCTGATTCAGATCATGATTGCTTATAACATGACGTATCGCCAGGAAAGGACACCAGAGGGACAATACACATACGTTCTTGATCCGTAAGTAACATAAAGATATTATGAACAGTTTTCAAACAGCATTTGAAAATCCCATACTTTTTCAATTTTAATGGTTTTGTATGGGGTAGTCGATAAGTCCATAGCAATTATGCAAGGGTGTGGTTTTTACTTATGCTGTGTATGTAACATTTCCAGCACTCTGTCATTTAGTAATAATGAACATTTCTCTGTATTTGTGTAATTTGTCAAAAAAAAGCATAGATTGGTCAAATTTTGCGAAATGGACACAGTAGCATTAGAGCTGTGACAAAAAAGCTGTTTAAATTAAAGGGATAATAACTCTTCGTATGAGATCTATATTTCACAATAAAAACATTGTGAATAACTCATAGAAATATAATATATTCTGTTTTACCATAAAAACAGCAGTTATTGCTATAAATTCTTATATTTGAGCTAGTCTTTAAACCACCTGACCTCCATTGATGGCTATACTCTGTTAAAATCTCTTAAGAGATTTTAACAAAAAGCCAAACTTTTTAGAAAAAAACCAGGGACTAACTTTGAATGTAAAAATGGATTTATTAACCATTGGTAAGTATGGGAAAATTGTTGTTTACTCCAGGAAAATTCATTTTTTTAGCTGAAAGAAGAGTTATTATCCCTTTAAGCGCCTTAATAATTTATGTTTGCTTTCTCATCTATTCCCAAACATAAGAAAATTGCTCTAGCTGGTCCCCTTTAGACATAATGGGGTTTACCAAATTACTGAGTTCATGTTGTGAAACTAACCCAAGACTTAATTTCTTGGCATTGCAAGCAAGTACACCAAGTGACAAGGGACGATAGTGTGTGGCCTTGTGAAGTGTATGAATGTTCACATAAAAGGATAAACCCCAGTTCAAGTCTTTCATGGCCAGATTGCACACTTATCAAGCACCTCTCAGAGCTTTCACTAGTTTGTAATGTATTTGTGTACTTTTATAATAATAATAATAATATATTTATAATAATTTATTAAGATTGCAACCCAGTGGGTTGAAGTTGTACATAGAATGTTAAAAAAAAAAATTATAATGATAATAAAATGAAAATTTGCATGAACTTTAAAATTATTGTACTTAGACTGCTAACTGAACTTTAAAATTATTGTACTTAGGATAGCAGCCAGTGAGTTAATTATATAAGGAATGTGATTTTCTGGGTATGTGTGGGTGTATGTGCATGTGTGATCATAACATCATTTGTTGTCACTTTTGTCAATTACCAGTAAGTGTCTACATCCTTGGAATTGAAAATTCGACACATTTTGTTCTGTACAAGACAGTGACTCACTTGATTGAGCATAAGATGTAGTTCAACATGAGCAGAGCATGATAGCATTTAATATTTTATCTTTGATTTATTTGTTCATCTTCAAGGAGTTTAGATGAAGTGGTTCACTTCACAGGGTTGAAGCCTGAAAGACAGTTAACCTATGCAGCTAAACAGCTGATAGCCAGGGAGGTGAGTTGTGAAGTTTTTAATGTGTGAAAGCTAATCAGACTGACCCGGTTCATCATGCAAGTTGTAATTCTGGTCAGATATTAAATTTATAAGGGGTAAATGAATTGAGTCTTAACTTGATTTAAACATTTATCCAGGAAGTGCAGTTCCTTTTGATATTAAGAAATAATAAGAAAAAAATACTGTTTGGGCTGTAATTAACACATGACCTTCAATCTTTCCAAAGTGGTAACTATGATTTTAAGTATAGAAGAGAAAAATAACTTTATATGTGATGTGTGATTGAAAAAAAAAATTAAAATTATTTTAGTGGTACTATTCTCTGTCCACATTAAAATATGTGTGGGGACCTTTTTCTTTCAGATTGAGTTGGAGAAGATGAGAAGAAGTGAGGCAGTACTTGAAAGGTGTGTAGGCAGGCACTTTAGTCTGGGTTCACTGCTCCCACCCCCACATATTTGAATTTCATTATTTACACATATTTTCTCCATCTCAACTCATTTTTATAACTATTTTATGTATTTATATAATTTATATATTGTAGATGAATTATAATAAATCATAATTTAACAATTTCACAATTTGACAAACATGAAATAATAGTTCTTTCAGCATTTTGAGTCTCAAAAAAAAAAATTGAAAGCTCTTGCCCAATAATACTACTACATGTAAGAAGCAAATGCACTCTTTTTCATCTGCTATAACATGTGCATGCAAATATGCACGTGCATACATGATTTTGTCATCACTGTAGAGCTGAGAAGCAGCCTGTAGCTCCAGTAACAAAGAAGTCAGCCAACCCTGCTGTACCTAACCACCTGCAGAAGCTGGAGGCCAAGCCGATCAGGGAGGTGGAGGAAAAGGTGGGCTCTCTGCCATTGTCTGAAATAATGATGATCAGCTTTCTTATGTACTGTTTAAAATTGTTATACACGTGTGTGTGCGTGTGTCCTTTTAATCTATTTTTTTATTTTTCAACATTTTGATATCTTTCTAGTTCAAAATATTTTAATGTGCGCATTTATGTCGTCTTAATGCACTGTCTGTTTCAGCCTTGTCACCTCAAGTACATTCTCTGCTTTGCCAGTAGTTC